CGCTCTGCAGGGTCCGGAGGGCTTGGGGCTTTTGGAAGAGGGCGTCAAGGGACCGCTGGCTACTTACGTTGTCTGCGCTGCTGAGGATCCTGCAAGGTGTTCTGTTGGCACCGGGCGCTGGGAAGGGCACTGCGAACAAAAGGGAGAGACAAAAAATAAAGTCACACAACGGGAATATTAATTGCCTCTCGTGCGGATTTTACAAAACACACAAAATGTTTTCTTTTTGCCTGGTTGTTTTTTTTTTGTTTTTTTTTTTGTGGATTGGCGCGCTTCCCTTCTGCATGGAAAATACTAGCATGGGATTTACAGCCCAGCTACAGGGCTCGGGATTAACAGCGCTGGCATCTTTTGGGCATATTTTTTCTTTTAATGAATGAGCTTTCGCTGTTAATGAGGAATAATCGTTTGGCTAATGAGCTTTGAAACATTAAGAGAAAAGAGGGTTTTTTTCCCGTTAATCGCCCTGGTGCGACCGCATGGATGGATTACAAAAGACAGCAGTAGGAACGCAGTACAAAGGGGGGGAAAACGTCTCCTGGAGTGGGATAAATGCAGAGATGGGTGATGCGTCCCTGCACCTCTCCTTCATTCTCTCTCTCTCTCTTACTCTCTCTCTGCCAACTGCGATGGGTTTCCATAACTCCGCAATCAAAGTGGATGCTCGGGAAAGATTATTATAGTCAAACAGTGAAGCGTCGGCTGTTAATGTCTCCAGTGTTTAATCATCATACAGTAGAATGGTTTTATGCATATTTCATTTGCATATCATTAAACCACGCTAGCGCGGGACATTCAGAGCTGGAGAGGTACAAAGTTGGGGGGAGAGAGAGGGAGAGGGAGAGCGAGAAAGAGACAGAGGGAGGAAGGTCCCTATGATGCCTATCTTCAAAAGCCAGGGACTTGTTCCATGATCTGTCTTCTACTTTTACTAAAATCATGATGACTTGGAAACCTTTGAAGTTGGATATAACCTTGGATTCTTCTAATTCCAGCAGAGTGATGTATTAGAAAGGGGGAAATGATGCTGCGCTAGACATTTAAAGGAATATAAGCTCCAGTGGAATGGAAATAGGAGCTCTTTGGGGAACGAACTGGCAGAGCCAGCCACAGCTTCGACAACCGCCACACTTCTGGGTTAATACTAGTAAAGGATATCAGAGTAATACGAAAGAAACGAAGACAACATATACATTAAGATGGGGATTATATTTCTCTACTCCTTCTCTTCTCTTTTCTTTTCCTTTTTAAAGGTACAAAGAAGGATGGAACCAGCGGTAATTTACACACTAATTAGCGAACAGTTGCCTCTTTTTGTGTTTGTTTTTCTTCTCTCTTTATTTTGGAGAGGGGTGTTGTCACCGCTGAAGTGATTAATCAATTATTTGGTAGCTCAGATCCTTCTCCACTGGCACTGATCGGGAAGAGAAGGTGGTGGTTGCGGGGGGAGGAACACAGTGGGCTCTTTGTAGATCTTATACATGCACAACATATTAATTGGGGTCTTTATAAAGCTCCCTCAATAGACTGTTTCTTTCCTGGAAAAACAGCAGCTGGTTAGCCACCGTTGGCGACTCTTCAAATATCACTTTCGCTGGGGGCAGTTCTGTCGCTGTTTGTTGTTGTGCTTTATTTTCTTTCTCCACGGAGGGGGCTACGTGTGCGATGCTACCACTGCCCACCGCTTTCGAACGGCAGGCAGACAGACGATATTGGTATCAACACAATCTCTTGAGCTGCATGCGGAACTTTGCTTCAAAATGAAATGCTGTTTTATATTTAAATTCTCCTCCTTTCCCTCCCCCACTTCTCCTCCAAGTCTTTGTCTTGGTTATGAATATTCAGATGAGCTGTGATGTGATTACACTGTACAATTACTTGTGTCCATGGTGGTGGCGAAGGCACTGAGGAAAGACAGAGCCAGACGAGCTTGGAGCTCATTTGGGGTTTGTTTTCCATATTTTTCCCCCCATCTCTGTAGCGCTGCGGCACATGCAGATGTCGCTGTTGTTCTTTATAAAGCCCTAATGATATGCGAAAGCATAACGACCCCATTTGGGTGCACAGCATCAACGAAATATTACTAGGGGGGGAATCCTGACTGAAGGAATGTCCACATAAATTATTTTTATTTAAATGAGTTGAAGAGGTGGCGGTGAGGCAGAGGAAGTCACATGAATACATGCATAATGTTAATACGCAGAAAGGTTATCGCCAAGGAGAAGAGGGTTTTTCGCACTGTGCTTGGGACAAACAGGCTCATTAGGGAACAGCACAGCCCACTGCATGATTTACTTATTTATCACTACTCATACTTAAGCCAGGGCACCAGGCACGCTCACTGCCTGGAGACTCGGAGTGCTGGGAGCTGGAGGCATGGACGATTCCTGGTCTTCATTCAGAAATCTCAGTCAAGTGTGTGGTGGGAGGGGGACAGGAGAAGAGGAACCGGAGGGTGAACGTGTTGCTTGCTGCAGCTCGGTGGCAAAGGACAGGTCCGATGATAGCATCGAGGGTGGAGTGAGAGCGCGGCAGCGCTGGTGCTCAGGCATGGCGCTGGATGGTGCCAGGCTGGCGTGCGTGCCCCATGGGTCCCTGCCCTGCAGCTCTGCGTCCCCGCCATGGGACAGGGGGACACGGGGCTGGGCTGCAGCCGGGCCTGGGGCAGAGCAGCTCCTGGCCGCCGAGCCATCAGGGAGACTGCCGGGGGGACAGAGAGCCAGGAGCTGGCCAGATCGGCCTTCACCCATGTTTCTCAGAGCTGTGGAGGGTACCACTGGATATTGCTAGTACAAAAATACGTGCGTGTGGAAACAGGGCTCTTTGGCTACTGTGTTCTGCTAAGAGTGCTCTTCTAGGCCACGTGTTTGCACCTACATACAGCAGCAAGGGGTGGACAAAGTAAGATACAGCAGCCCAGCGGTAAACAGCAACACCCTTATTTCAGCTGTGTTTGACACCAGCTTTTGGAAGGTCTGTGTCTTGCGTGCTTGCCCCGCACGGATCCTGAACAGCTCTGCCTTCACAGCCTCCTCAGCCTCCACCACACCCCTGGCTGTGGGTAAGGCTCCAGCTGCAGCCAGCCCTGGTCTCCAGGGAGGGAGCATCACTTTCCTCTCTACCCAAAAAGAGAGAGGCAGGACAGAGAGGAAAGACTACTGCAGATGGGACCCGTTGTGAGAGGAGTTGTCCTCTTCTCCCATGCTATGGGCTTGCACAGACTTTACCTGTGGCTCTGGAAACACTCCCGACAGATCCTCAGCTGTCAGAGCGGGCTGGCTCCGCTGCCTCTAAAGCTGTGCCGCTTGCCACAGACACGGAGGTGGCACGAGAACCTGAGACCTCTAAGCAGACAGTAACCAGGTTTCCGTAGGCAGGCCCCATCGCAAAGAGAGCCCTGAGAGCCCCAAACCGGAGGGTTATGCTCCAGGCTGTATCTGTCTAAGGACCGACGTGCAGAGGATGTAGTGACCTGTAGCAAAGAGGGAAGCTGCTGCCCAGTGCTGCTTAAAGAACCCTAACCACAGGCCCATCTAGCTGTCATCTGCCTCCAGTTCCTTCCTGCATCTCAGCAGATGCATCCTTGTCGTGCACACGCACACACCCTTCTGCAAAGGCACCCAGGAGACTGAGGAGAACGCAACGGACTGCCAGTTCTGATCAAAAATAGGACACCAGTACTGCCTCTGGGCAACAATCCTAAATCCAGGCGCTCTCTGCTCGCAGTTTCAAACAGCGGGCAAAATTCAGGACACAAGGGATAACCCCATCATCAACCTAACTCAGAAGTTAAATGTGAATATCCTGTCCATGACCACTCAGCCCCCTCAAAGGCATGGCTAAGACATACTGCTGTCCTGATGAAAAGGAACCTGTGCTAAAATCAACCTAGACCCAGGCGAGCAGCCCAAAGCCGGTCTACTGTAGGGAACTGAGCAGCCACGGTCAGCTGGAGTGATCTGAGCAGATCACCTCCACCCCGTCCACCCTAACCAATCGCTCTTTGACCCCAGAACGGTGGCACTGCTGGTCTGGACCTTGCGGAACAGCAACCTAGAAGGTGCCACCCGACCCTGCCCTGTCTTTCTGGTCTCCGGCCTCAAAGCAGCTTAATGCAGAGGCTGTCTGTCAAAGACCAGACGGAGCCTGGGGATACGGCATAACTTAAACCAACACAAAGTGAGGAGCTTGTCCACAGAAAGGCCATACACTTGCCATGCCCTTGTCAGCGTTCCAGGTATTGAATCCTTGCCCCGTCCTAGTTTTGCCCTGGCAGCACAGCAGGGACCTCAGTCCTGAACAGTGCCTTTGCACGCCGTGAGCCTTACCTATTCGGAGAGGGGTTAGCAGGGCAGGAGCCTAAACACAAACCTGCCCGAAGGTGGAGGGTAGGTAAGGAGATAGATATAAGGACTGAAAGACAGGCTCTGAGGCATAGCGGTGGTGGTGCAGTCTCACAGTCCCCTTCCTGTGCCTGCACTGATGGACAAACTTACCTGCAGAGCACGGCTGGGCAGTTTCCCCTCTGCCTGGAGGTCTCAGTGCAGCCAAGGCAGCTCGTCCACCCTGACCAGAGCTTGTTGCCAAAGCCTAGGAGGGGTTTCTGACCAAGACGTGGAGCAGGCTGCAAACCAGATCAATGACTGTAGCAGTGGCCTCACCTGGCTGAGACTTTTCCTGCAGTCCTCAAGGTTCCTGTGCCCGTCACATGCAGGAGAGCACCCAGCACTACAGGAGGAGGGCCAAAGGAAGGAGAGGATGGGAACTGCCTGAAGACTCCATGCAGCCTGCTGCCCTCTCCTGGGTAGGAGAAACCCCCAGGGAGGATGGAGTCGAGCAGCTTAGGACAAGCCTAGCCAGAGTCACTCTTTTTACAAGAGCCCCCAAAGAGGAGAAGGAGGGAGACTGCAGCCGGGAAAAGGAGCATGGAGCGTGCTGTCTATGCAACAGGTCCGTGGGTGAAGCAGAGGAGGTGGTGAGGCAGCACGTGGTGCGTGGCAGGGATGCTCGCTCTGTGACACCCACACTGAAAGGCTGGGCACCCTGCTCTGCGCGACCCTGAACGTGCTCTCACACAAACTGGCCAAAGGTGTTCCTGCCTGTACAGGCTACTGCTGCTTTTCGACATG